TCCCTAATTCCCTCCCAGTCCCATCCTCCCTCCCTTATCTCCTCCCTGCCCCTTTGCAAGTCCAACCAGGGTCAGATGAAAGGGGAGGAGGTCCTCGCCTATCAGTGGACTTACATTTCTTTTTTACCATGTAATATTATAAAATATATACATGTTAATGGAAAGAGAGCATATAGATTTCAAAACTGAAATCACACATTATACCAGTCCCTCAAATATATAATGATCATTATGTATCAGTACAATTAAATCTAACTCATTTTTAGTACACAAAGTAGTATACCATGTTATAATTCTTTGAGAATTTCATGTATTTTAATCACATTCATTCCTCTACACCAACTCCTCCCAGGTCCTTTCCTACTTCCCTATCCACTCAACTTCATATTCTGACTCTTTTAAATCCATTGAGTCCAGTTTTTGTTGGCTGCATACTCCTGGGAACAGTGCTTGTCTTGGAGTACAGTCAATACACTGGAAAACTGATATTGCCTCTCCCATTAGTTATCAAATGTTAATAGCTTCTCAGCTATGCATAAGATTTTTTTGCCTGCCTCTCCTCCTACATGCTGGGATTTTGTCTTGTTTGAGCTTATATAGGTCTTATGCGCACTATCATAATCACTGTGAGTTCATATGTGCATCTGTCCTGTTGTGTCTGAGAAACTGTTTCCATGAAGTTATTCATGATCTTTGGCTCTTACAGTCTTCTTGCTCCCTCTTCTGCATAAATCTCTGAGCCTTGTGAAGCAAGGTGTAATGTAGACATCCTATTTAGGGTTGAATACTTCGAAGTCTCTTATTGTCTTCCCAATGACTTGTTGTCAGTTTCTATATTATTTGCTGTCTACTGTTAGAAGCAGCTTTTCTAATGAGGCTTGGGTGATGTGCTGATACATGGGTATAACAATAAATCATTGAGAATCTATGGTTCCCATGTTGTGATGGGCCTTAAATCTGATCAAAAATCTGGTTAGCCACTATTGCACCAATGGGCATATCTTACTAGGCAGGTATTGTAACTTGCTGAGTTCACAGCTGAATAAGACTGAAGATGTATAGCAGTATCTAGTACCAGCTAGATTTGTCCATGTTCTGTGACTCAGGTGTGTATTGAGATCAGCGGGAGGGTCTTACTATCAAGTTTTGGAGGATAACCAACCTAATGTTTTCAATATTTGCTATTGATACACACTTAAAATTTCTCTATGTTCTGTTCTCATAAACACTGGTCAATGCTTTTATTCATATATTTTTATTTTGTTACATTTTTGTATGTGTACACACACATGCATGCACATGTGGAAACTGGGAGACAACTTGCTGGAATAGGTTCTATACCTTCCACTGTATGAGTTCCAGGGATCCAACTCAGTTACCTAGGAGAAGCTGGATCAGAGGGTATCCTTATATAAAATTTGACAGATCTTGCCAAATTATCCTCTAAAATATTTGCAACAAATTGTAAGACCAGCGGTGTATAAGAATATCATTTAAAGTTTCATTTTACTAATTTATATTTATTAGCTTTCCATTTCTTAATTGCTTGTTTATAGCCTTTGCCCATTTTCTATGAAATTATCTTTTTATCTATGCTATATAAGATCTCATTGAATATTAGTAGTATTAGTTCTTTGACACTTGTATTTTTAGTAAATTTTCTCTCTTATTTTGTTGTCTTTCATGTTTTATAACATCTATCAGAGTATGCAAATCACAGATTTTAATATAGTCAAATCTTTACTTTTTTGCATAATGCCTTATTTTCATGTAAAACTTACGCTTTCTCTAGCTAAAATTATACAAATTATAAAAGCACTATTTGGTATAATCAGCTTACAGTACTGATGCTGGTTTCTGTTTTAACATTTAGTATTTTAACATTTAATGTATGGGTTAATATACCTAGAGGATTTTTGTTTTATATATAACTTTAATATTTTCCAACTAAAACCATTCATTACCTGAAAATATTAAACTGTATATTCTCACTGTATTATACTTTTTCATAAATTGAGCTCTTATATACATCCGTGGAAGCACATCTTTATTTTATTTTTTTGTTATGGCAACTTTGTCATATATTTTAATTACTGTATGTTTATAGGACATTTTGAAATCTGAGCCTTTATTTTTTCTTTTTGATATCCGTTGTATTTATTTGACTTTTAAATGTCCTTTTAGAAAGCATTTGTGGTTTTGATCCTGTTCATTGTCTTATTAGGGTGCCTTTTGCTGTGATGGATCACCATGACCAAAAGCAATCTGAGGAGGAAAAGGTTGATTTCTCTTAAATTTCCGTTTCACAGTCCTTCATCTAAGGTAGTCAGGACAGGAACCTAGAGGAGGAAGAAACTGATACAGTGGCCATGGAAGAGTACTGTGTACTGGCTTGGTCCTCATGGCTTGCTTAGCCTACCTTCTTCTGGAACCTAGGATCACTAGATCAGGGGTATGCCCATCCACAGTAGGCTAGACCCTCATCTATCAAGCACTAATTATGAAAAGGCCCTAAAAGCTTGACTGCCTAAAGCCTGATCTTACGGAGACATTTTCCCAATTGTGGTTCCCTCCTCTCCATGACTTTAGCTGGTGTTCAGTTGACATAAAGCAAAACTGCACGTAGGCCTTAAATATTTCTTGTTGATTTTGTCCTAATGCACTTTTGTGACTAAAATGAATGAGATTTATTTTTTACATTTTCCAATTACTTATTGGTATAAATGCAAAAGCTCTTGATTTGGGTTTCTTGTGTTTTATTGTAGCCACAACACTGACTTACTGATTGTACCATTTTTCACTTGGCTTTTTTGGTGTCCTAAATAAAGACTGTATAATTTCTAGTACTAAGATTTTTGACCCTTCCTAATATGTATACTCTTTTTCTTTTGTGTGTATATTATTCCATGATCTTGAAACCTTGAAGAACTATTAAATAAAAGCAGTAGAAGTAGGCCTTTTACTCATTTCTAAATTTAATAGAGATGCTTCTCATATTTTATTACTATTGATTTCTGGAGGATGTTCTTTATTAAACTAACGAACTTTTATTAAGTTTCTAGGTTGAAAGGCTGAGATGAAACTCAATAATAGCATGTTTCCAAGCAAACATAGAGTTTTAACTGAAGTTTGGAACAATTATTTTTTTTAAATTAATACTGAGTGTTAACTTTGATAGAATGATTTTCATACCTTGAGATTGTGTGGCATTTTACTTTATTAATATAGTAAATTTTATTAAGAACTTATTAGACTTCCATTGCACTTTTTTATAATTTTAATTTTTTATATTCATCACAGGTTATTTACTTTGTATCCCAGCCTTAGCCTCCTCCCCCATTCCCTCCCAAACCCACCCTCTCTCCCTCATCTCCTCCCTGCCCCTCTCTTAAATCCACTGATAGGGGAGGTCCTCCTCCCCTTCCATCTGATCCTAGCTTATCAGGTATCTTCAGGACTGGCTGCAAAGTCCTCCTCTGTGGCCTAGCAAGACTGCTCCTTCCTCGGGGGGCCAGGGGGGAGGTCAAAGAGCCAGCCATTGAGTTCATGTCAGAAATAATCCTTGTTCCCCTTAGTAGGGAACCCACTTGGATACTGAGCTACCATGGGATACATCCGAGCAGGGGTTCTAGGTTATATCCATGTATGGTCCTTGGTTAGAGAAACAGTCTCATAGAAGACAGACCCCTGTGCCCTGATATATTTGGTCCTTGTGGAGCTCCTGTCCTCTCCAGGTCGTACTAACTCCCCCTTCTTCCATTGCACTTTTAAATGAAACTTATTTGGCTATAATATCCATACTCTATTTTGATAAAATAACAAAATAGTTTAGCAAGATTCTCTGCACCTGTGTTAAAATTACATTGATTTCAGAATTTCTTTTGCTTTTTTAGAGGTATAATGTCATGGTATAGCCCTAGCCAGCCTGGAGCTCACTATGTAGACCAGACTGCCCTGAAACTCACTGAAAGCTGCCTATCTTTGCCTCCCAAGTATTGGGATTAAAGGTGTGCTCCACCACACCCAGTTAAGAATTTCTTTTCTAATGCTTAGATCAGTTTCACTTATGTCACATAATAGATTTTGTAGTAAACCCATGTTTTTCTATCCTCTGGAATACTTAAGCTTACATCATAAGAACGTTAGAGAAAAAAAGACTATAAAACCTTTTGGGTCTGCTGACTTCTGGTGATGGTAGCTATTTGGTTATCGTTTCTGTTTTTCTATTCAGATATTTTCATATATTTGATTTAATCTTGGTCACATATATTCCAAGAGAATCTTCTATTTTATCTTAATTTTCATAAATATATGTTTGTATAACACTTATGAAATCTATTTAATAACTATTAAATGCTGATTCTATATGCTGGGCACCTTAATGACTTCCATATCCATCTTTATATATTGTCTTTTTAAATTTTTATTATATTTATTATTGGGAGGTTGCGCTCATGTACCATAGCATCCATTTAGAAGCCAGAGTACAAATTATGACATTTGATTCTCTCTATCTGCATGGGTCTCTGGGATTGAACTCAGGTCATCAGTCATGGTAGCAAGTGCCTTTATCCACTGAGCCACTTTGTCAGCCTATTTATTATGCTTTTATTCTCAATGATGTTTATTTGTGATATCTTTTATTATACTAAAATCTATTTTACTTTTCCAAATAATCAGCAAAGTATTAAGAAATAGTCTAACACTATATAGTACACTAAATACAAATAGTATTTATATCAGAAACAGAAGGTTAATTTAACAGTTAAAAATCAAGAAATAATTCGGCTATTATTAATACAGCTGCAGTAAAAATCGATGTGTATGTTTAAACATTTTCTCCTGGTAGAGGGAAACTTCAAGTGAATTCAAAGAGAGCCTTTATAAACAGAAATGTTACAGTCTAAATTGTTTTGGTAGAAGAAAAGTTTAAGTGAATTCAATGAGATACTTTCTAAACAGAAATATTTCGGTCTAAATTATTTTTAATCTTTTTAAAGTTGCGGGTTGTATCACAAGATGTGAAAATGAGCCTTCAGGAACTGGATGAACTTTATGTCATTTTTAAGGTATATTTGTTTCTGTTTATTGAAAACTAATCTTTTAGCAGAAATTTGTCACAATTATTCTTAAATATATTTTTATTTTAACAGACATGTTTAAGAGAAAGCTTTTGCTTTTCTCTGATTTAATGGCTTTCCTCTTTTCTTTGTTTTTGACAGAAAGAGCTATTTATATCTTGTTATTGGTATTTGAGTTGTCCAGGATTGAAGCATCATGACCCCAGCCTGTCATATTTGGAACAATATCAAATTGACTGCCAACAATTCAGAATGCTGTATCACTTGTTGAGTCCCTGGGCTCACTCTGCAAACAGAGATTCACTAGCTCTATGGACGTTCAGATTGTTGGATGAGAACTGTGATTGCCTTATAAACTTCAAAGAATTCTCCTCAGCAATTGGTAGGCGGATGCCCTGCAACTTTCTAAAGCAAAACAGAAATATCTTCCCTACCTCTAAAAACTATTTATGCTTCTGCCTATTACTGCTAGTTTAGGCAGATGTTTCACTCTGGATTACATTATCTTCAGATTTTGTAATTATGGGGCTTTTAAATATATTTGTTGATAAACCAATGCATAATAATCTTTTTATGATTTTTTTATGTATGTTGCTGTTTTGCCCATGTATGTGACTATGTGAGGGTGTTGGATCCTCAGAAACCTAAGCTACACACTATTAGCTGCCATGTAGGTGCTGGGAATTTTAAAGCTGAGTCCTCTGGAAGAGTAGCCAGTGCTCTTAAACACTGAGCTTTCTCTACAAGCAAACATATTGATCTGTTTTTGCCACAACCTAGCTGTAAGATGTAGGGGTTTTAAGCTTTAACAGGGAAAAAGAGAATGCCCATGGTTTTTCCACAACAGATATATAGACGCAACAAAAGGATTTCCCCTTGGTTAAAAATTTATCTGTGTAGCCTAGATAAGCGATACAGAAATCCCAAAAGAGTTGTGCCTATAGTTGATATGTTATAGGTTTTATTCCTTTGTTTCTCATAACCCCATTCCAGCAATGATTTCTTCTCACAGATTATCCTGAAGAGAAGTTCTTTCCTCAAAGGAATTGTAAGGCCTCATTCAAAAAGAAAGAGAAATAATGAAGTTGGGGAAAAGGAGCTAGTGAAGAGAGCATGTTATTCCTCTGTGGAGTGTTTCGCTTATATGCTCGAAAAAAAATTCTTACTAATTGAGTAGTTGTTTAACTATTAGCTTAAATACAATGTCTATCAGTTCTCATCAGAAGTGGCTGCATTGTCAGGGTTCTAGGTTATCTCCATGGATACTCCTTGGTCGGAGTATGAGTTTCTGGGAAGTTCCCTGTGTTCAAATTTTCTTGTTCTGTTACTCTCCTTGTGGAGTTCCTGTCCTCTCCAGCTCTTACTATTTCCCACTTCTTACATAAAATTCCATTCACTCTGCCCTGCCCGTCAGTTGGCCATAAGATCAGAAAGAAGGAGAGGAGGACCTCCCCTATCAGTGGACTTGGGGAGGGGCATGCATTGCAGAAAGGGGGGGGAGGGGGGACCAGGAAGGGAGGAGGAAGGGGCTAATGGGAGGATATAAAATGAATAAAGTGTAATTAATAAAAGTTAAATAAATTTTTTTTTAAAAAAGGAAAGAAATACAATGTTTGGGATCTTAATTTCTGACTATTGTCTGTATCTTAATCACTTTGGTTGAAATTTGGCTGAAATCATGAATACATACATGATTTTTCTAATTGAATTTCATTGAACAGATATCATGTACAATGGAAGTTTTACTGAGAAGCTTAAGCTGCTTTTTAAGCTGCATATTCCTCCAGGTAAGAATATAACAGTCTTTAAGAGTTCATTCCATTATAACCCTCATTGTCACACATATAATCCCATTTTAATGAATTAAAATAATTTTCCAAGTGACAAGTGACATAAGCTTATTGTTTCATTATAGCCCTCAAATAATATCCTAAGTATTTTTGCTGGTGTAGATGTAAGTATAGATGGAAATAAATCTATGGGAGAGATTCTCAGGTAGATCCTCAGGCAATCATTTGTTTAATTATGTATGTATAGATTATGTGGTTTTAGATAGGATCTCAATATGTATCCCAGGCTGACCTCAGCCTCAGAAGTGCAAGGATAACAGCCATGCACCACCATGTACAGCTAGCAACTTCTTAAATAATACCTTGTACGAGAAATTATATATCATTTAAATATTGGGGCAATGTTGAATTTCTGCTGTCATTGTTATTAGAATAGATTCAGCTTAGGAAGATTAACAAACTTGCAGATGGCACGAATTATTGACAGTACAGGGCCAGAGGGCAGGTATAGTAAACATTTACAAAAAGAAGCAGAGCAAAGCTATGGTACCGAATATATTCACTCTATACCCAGTGTCAACCTTAGGCGTGCCCACACATACATGGGCACACAAATGAACATGTGCATAACCACACACATTATAAAATATAGTTTATATGTACTCTTATTTTAGCCACACAGTTTCTGAAAGATTATATTATCCTTCCAATTTTTACAAAAAAGAAGCTGAGGATTAGTAAGATTGAAGTATGTACCAAATATAGCATAGCTGGTATAGGATCCATCTGATTCCAAAGCTCTATTTTCCCATTCTTCTATACTTCCTCAAAGTTACCATGCCCTTCCAGTTCTCTTTATGTTTTTCCCTCCCACTGTCCTAACATATCTCTACTCTGAAAAGAATATTGCAGAACGTAGTCTGGATCAGGTAATTCATAAAATCAAATAGTTTGTCATAATTTGTCTAATGCTCTCCCTGGATTCATTTTAAAACTTCTTAAAGGCTTTTCAGGTTATCAAGGAATCATTATTTAGTAGACAAAATCCTAAAAACATCTTTACCCTTCAGACACTCAAATCACAAGCACAGCATTAAACACGAAAGACAAACTACGTAATAATTGAATTATAAGAATAATTTTGTTATTAACTTAGGTTACCACTTGGATGTTTAATTTTCCATTTCATGCATTTTTGGTAGAGAGATTGAAAGTAGGATTATTAAATAGAACAGAATCTAAAATAGGAAATATGTTTCTGTTAAATAGCAGGTGGTGCACAAAGTAAAGCACTCAGCTTCACTTCTTAGTAGTGCAGGAGTTTTGACCATGCGGAGCCTTCATGTTAAGGCAAAATATAAATTCCATATTTTCTTTTTCAATGTATAATGACTCAGAAATCCACTCAAAGAGCAAGTAGGTTACCCAGGCTCCAGCAGATAGTCCTCTGCATCAAATGGATTCAGTGGGTTTATAAAAGAGCCCATAAAATTAGAAGGGTATAGTGGTGATGGAAGAGGGAGGACATTGCAGGAGAGGGAATGGGGAAATGGAACTGATCAAAATATAATATATGAATGTATGAAGTTCCCAAGCAACAGAAAGAAAGAAAAGCAAATAAGAGAAATCATAAAACTCAATGTAATTAAAGGTTTAATTTGGAGTTCCACAGAGCAGAGCAATATTATTTCCACATTTTTTATGTGCACATTTCTTATATACTTCATCTAATTTCTACTCGTCAACTTGTCTGAGCATTAAGGACCATTCCTGTGTTCTTTGTTGCTCATAATTTGATTTCGGTTATATGTTTTCAGCTTATACTGAAGTGATGTCTAAGACTTCTTCAAAAGGCGATGAGCTTTCAAAAGAAGAATTACTTTATTTCAGTCAGCTCCAGGGTAAATATTTGTTTAACCTTTTAAATGAATTTGTGTTTTGAGTTGGGTTTTGCTGTATTTCTTAGACTGGACTCAAACTCTTAGGCTACAGTAGTCATCCTGCCTCAGGCTCTCAGGTAGATAGGACTATGGGCATCGTGATGATTGTTTACTTGTGGAGATCTTCGTGATTTGGAGTCACTATACTTTCACTGTTTAAATTTTTGTATTAATTATTTATGACAATTTATTGACTTTGTATCCCTGCTGTGCCCCCTCCCTTGTCTCATCCTAGTCCCACCCACTCTCCCTCTTCTCCTCTTATTCGCTTCCCCTAGTCCACTGATAGGGGAAGTCCTCCTCCCCTTCTATCTGACCTTAGCCTATTAGGTCTCATCAGGACTGGCTACATTGTCATTTTCTGTGGCCTGAAAAGGCTCCCCGACCCAGAGGGCCATGATCAGAGAGCTTGCCCCTGAGTTCATGCCAGAGACAGCTCCTGCTCCCCTTACTAGGGAATCCACTTGGAGACTGAGTCTATGGGCTACATTTGAGCAGGGGTTTTAGATCCTCTACATACTTATACATGGTGTACCAGTCTCAGCATGGTCCTCAGGGCCCAGTTTTATTTTGTTTTTTGTTTTGGCTCTGTTGGTCTTTTGGAGATCCTGTGCCCTCCAGATCTTTCATCTCCCCTTTCTTCCACAAGATTCCATGTCCTCTGCCCAAAGTTTGACTATGAGCCTCAGCCTCTGCTTTGATACCTCAATCAGTAGAGTCTTTCAGAGGCCATCTGTGGTAGGCTCCTGTCTTGTTCCCTGTCTTCTGCCTCAGATGGCTCTCACATTTGCCCTTCTGAATGAGGATTGAGCATCTTCCATAATCTTTCTTGTTAATAGATTTAATATTTATCCTATATTATATGGCTAATATCCACTTATGAGTGAATATATATCATTTGTGTCTTTCTGCTTCTGGGTTACCTCACTCAAGATGATCTTTTCTAGTTCCTACCATCTGCCTGCAAATTTCATGATTTCCTTGGTTTTAATAGCTGAGTAGTATTCCATTGTATAAATGTACCACAATTTCTGTATCCATTCCTCCTTTGAGGGACCATCTGGGTTGTTTCCAGATTAGTAGCAGTTAGCATAGTCTATAGGCTGGTTTGACTGATTAGACCGTATTCAACAATTTTTGTCATTGAAATTCTTTATTAAAGTCTTTAAAAGAAAGTATATATAATATATTTCATTTCCAGTTATATTAATGAAATTTCTAGTTTGTATCAGAGCATTTTTATGCTTCGATAAAAGACAGTGAAGCCAATAGACTCTGATGATTTATAATCCGTAAGTCTTTTTTAAACAATGATTACTTCTTTTAAATCAAGTGTAACCTACAAAGATGAATCTGCTTTTCTGACATAAATTGGAAGTGAGAAACACCTATGTGTGTCATTTGATTCACTTTCATAAGTATATAATGTTCTCACAGAGAAAATTTATATGTACGTGTGTCTATTTGGTGTATAAAGTGAGCATAGCAACAACAAAAACAAAAACCTCAAAAATCGTCTATTTAAGGCTGCCCACTTAAGATATAATGGCACTGAGTATAGAAAGAAGTGACTTGTACAGGATTTTACAGTGAGTTGTTGCCATACTCAGGACTCAGGGCATGTTCTTCAGAGTTCTGTTAGGTGAGGAGCCTTCATCCCAGTATTAAAAATAATACAACTTAATTTGAAGGCAGTCAAATGAAGAAACTATCACTCAGAAACAAGTATTAAATTTGATGCTCAATGACCTGCTCTTTGACAACCCCCCCCCCAGGGAGGAGCAGCCTTGCTAGGCCACAGAGGAGGACATTGCAGCCAGTCCTGAAGATACCTGATAAACTAGGGTCAGATGAAAGGGGAGGAGGACCTCTCCTAGCAGTGGACTTGGAGAGGGGCATGGGAGGGGATGAGGGAGGGAGGGTGGGATTGGGAGAGAATGAGGGAGGAGGCTACAGCTGGGATGCAAAGTAAATAACATGTGATTAATATAAAAAAGTTATAAAAATAAAAAATTGATGCATTACAGTGTTCTTTTACTATGAATAATTTTAATACTTTGCATTCTAATGTTAGGAGGTCAGGTCACATAAATTTTTTGTGGTTAAATAAAAGAACAATGAGTACCCTAGAGAAGAGGCTGAATCCTCACTCAGAAGGGTAAACAGGATGGACATCAGAAGTAGGAGAAGACAAGGAACAGGACAGGAGCCTTCCACAGAGGGTCTCTGAAAGGCTCTACCCAGGAGGGTATCAAAGGAGACTCATAGCCAAACTTTGAGCAGAGTGCAGGGAACCTTATGAAAGAAGGGAGATAGAAAGACTTGTAGGGGACAGGAACTCTACAAGGAGAAAAACAGAGCCAAAAAAACCTGGACACAGGGGGGGTCTTGCAGAGACCGATGCTCTAACCAAGGACCATGCATGGAGAGGACCTAGATCCCCTATTCAAGGAAGCCTTTTGGCTGTAGTTTCCAAGTGGGTTCCCTAGTAAGGGGTTCAGGGGCTATCTCTGACATGAACTCAGTGGCTAGCTCTTGGATCACCTCCCCTGGGTGGGGGGGGGGGGCGTGCAGCCTTGTCAGGCCACAGAGAAAGAAAGATAATGCAGCTAGCCTTGATGAGATCTGATAGGCTAGGGTCAGATAGAAAGAGAGGAGGTCCACCCCTATCAGTGGACAAGGGAAGAGGCATAGGGGGAGAAGAGGGAAGGTAGGTGGGACTAGGAGGAAACAAGGGAAGGGTCCACAGCTGGGATTCAAACTGAATAAATTGTAATAAAATTTTAAAAAGTATTTATATTTGAAAAATATAAGGGCTTTTAAGTCTATACAAAATATTATTTTACTTTAAAAAGATACCTGCTAAACATTTTACAATATGCAGTTTCTCTTTTTTCCCTTTAGTTTCTAAGCCTGCAGATGAGAAGGAAACAGAATCAGGAAGAAATAGCCCTGAAAAAGGTACAATCTAGGAATATCATTCAATTTACTAAATTATTGATTCTATAAATGGGTGTAAAGGGGGATGAGGTAGAGTTCTATAAAAGCTGCAAATTTGTCCCAATAAGGTTTTTAGTTACATCACGTTAATACAACAATTTATTATTTCCTCTTGTAATGCTTACATCTCAGAAGTCTAAAAACTCAATAGTAAGTGCTCCATTTTCATTTTTAATATTTTAAGTATTTTATTTTAATTAGCAAAGTAATACGTAATCTTTGTGGTAGAAATTCAGAGAGCATGTACTAAACCTAACCAGCATGATAAACCTAACCAGAAGTAGAGGCTATAACATTTTTGGATATATCCATTGCAGACTTCTTTCTGTGTATACATAAACATGTAGACATCTCTCTTTTTAAAATATCCATAAGCACTGTTCTACTGGTGCTGTTTTTATTTTGTAATATATCATGGATAATTTTCCATGTCTATTCATTTGCTCTTTTAACTTTTAATGGGAACAGAAGATGTCATGATTTGATTTGAAGATAATTTTTTTGTCAAGTATTAGCTCAATACTGATAGACATTTAAGATATTCTCAATTATTTTCACTGCAAACTATGATGCCAAAAAATTAACATGTAAATTTCAGGATAATTTAAGAAATATTTCTTTAAATTAAGGTAAATGCAAAGAAATATAAAAATATTGAATAAACTAGTATGAACATTTTATATTTTGATAGACTATTAATTTCTTCATTTGAAGCTCATCATTCTACATTTTAAAACATCTAATTAAAAATAATTGCTGTATTGTCTTCCTCTGTGGCCTGGTGAGGCTCCTTCCCCATCAGGGGGAGGTGATCAAAGAGTCAGCCACTGAGTTCAGGTCAGAGACAGTCCCTGTTCCCATTACTAGGGAACCCACTTGGAAACTGAGCTGCCATGGGCTACATCCCTGCAGGGGTTCTAGGTTATCTCCATGCTTGGTCCTTGATTGGAGTATCAGTCTCAGAAAAGACCCCTGTGCCCAGAATTTTTGGATAGGCTAGGGTTAGAGGGAAGGGGAATAGGACCTCTCCTATCAGTGTACTTGGGGAAGGGCACGGGAGGAGATGAGGGTGGGATTGGGAGCGGATGAGGGCGGGGGCTACAGCTGGAATACAAATTGAATAAACTGTAATTTATTACAAAATATATAAATAAATGCTTGCTGAAGATCTAGTTGAACACAACTGTTCCAGTATTTTGCCCAGTTTTCAAGAAGATTTAAATAAGAATTTAAAGGTCACACAAAAAATAAAAATAAAAAATAAAAAACAAACAAAATAAAGCTCACACAAATAGCATCTTGACTGAACCCTTTGAACAAATGAATCAATAAGTAGTGGTTTCAATTTTTGAAAAAGAGCCACCATTAACCACTTCCATATATACATATGAAAAACTTGATATGGAAAGATTAAGTATGATAGGATATATAGCAATGGGTTATAGCTACATGAAATTTAATGTCAGATCAAACTATGCAATTTTAATTTAAGTATATAATTTTTCCTCTTTGCTAATTTTTTTTCTGTTCTTCAAGTTTCCCAAAGTAAATGTTTTGGTCTAAATCAGTGGTTTTCAACCTTTTTAATGCTGTGGCCCTTTAGTACAATTCATCATGTTGTGGTGACCCCCACCACAAAATTATTTTGGTTGATACATCATAACTGTAATTTTGCTACTATTATGAATCATAATGTAAATATGTGTATTTCCCAATGGTCTTAGGCGACTTCTGTGAAAGGGTTGTTTGACCCTCAAGGGGATTGCAAACAGTGGTTGAAAACCAGTGGTCTAAATGAAAGTGGAGAATGTATTCTGAAAGCCAGTGAGTAAGATCAAATCTAAATTCAGATTGTATCCTGGATTGAAAAAGATGGGCTCTTTTACCCCAGTGAAATATCTTTCAACTTCAGTTATTCTTTTTGAGAATTTTAGGGAAATATGACCTATTCATTAGAGAAATGTTTATTTCTTTCATTCAGGCAAAGGAAAAATTGACATTCAAGCCTACTTAAGTCAATGGCAAGATGAGCATCTCAAAAAAGAAGAAAACATTAAAGATTTACCAAGAATGAATCAGGTATAGAATTTTCCAAGTGAAAATTCCTAATTTTTTTTCTTATTAATGTGGGTGCATGAAGCCCATGTTTCAGTTACCAATAGCGCAAGAGAAATGGAAAGAAAAAATAATGCATGCCATTATAAAACTAGTTAAATAAGCTATAGGTTATTATCTTTATAAGATTCAGATGATCATGAGCTTTACCAAAACAAAAACGATCATAGCTTTGAGTGTCTTAATGGACTTTCCAGTTTGATGATTAAATGAATACTTTATAAAAATAAGCCAATCTGGGATGTTCATTCTAAAATCATTATACATGAATCTTACAACAAAAAGGAGGAGTAAAGCATTTTACAATATATTTATGAAACATGTTTGTATTTGTTCTATATACATATAAACTTGTAAGGTTAAATGCCTGAATTGCAGAACCTTGGATGTGAATAGCTTTTAAATTGACAAATATTTTCTAGGAATATCTAGAATTATTAGGAGCAGTTAGCAAACTAAATGAATTCTCTTAACTTTGGACCTATGTCTGCCTTTAAAGACACACATCCAAAATCCATCCAAAGGGATTTCTTAGAGTTCTTTCACTACTAGGTAAGTCTCAGAAGTCAGTCTTCCCTAAAATTAAGTCACCTTAGCTCACTGTCCATTGTAGCTTTTGGAGAGCAAATCAAAGTCCATAGTCATTTTCTTAAAACTGATTGATGAGAATTACTTGGAGGAAAACATGAAACTTTGCATAACCAAAATCATCCACCAACACTAAATAATACTGGCAAACACATATATTTAGTGACAATGAAACTGCCAGAAATTAGTTTGGATATGATATTCTTCGATTAGTCAATGTGTAAGAGAGCTTAAATGAAATGGTCTTCTATGGTTTAGACTTACCTTCCTTGAATGAGCAAAGACATATCATGGATTTAGTCTTCAGCTGTATGCCGAGGGTTATGTATTAAAAATTTTATACAGGATGCTATCCACTTCTAAGTTCCACTTATTTTACTAAGTCTAATGTTTAAATATTGTATTTCCAACTTGTGTCTTCTAGTCACAATTTATTCAGTTTTCAAAGACCCTGTATAATTTATTTCATGAGGACCCCGAAGAAGAGGCACTATATCAAGCCATTGCTGTTGTAACCAACCTTCTGCTCAGGATGGAAGAAGTTGGAAGGAAACTCCATAGCCCCACATCATCAGCCAAAGGATTCTCCAAGACAGCCTGTGATTCTGGACCCAATAAGGGGAAAGCAGAGAGCAAAGTAGAGAAAGATCCTTCCTCTCCCAGAGAAGAACATCAGTGGTCTTTTGCATTTGAACAGATTCTCGCATCCCTGCTAAATGAGCCAGCCTTGGTGAAGTTTTTTGAGAGACCCTTAGATTTAAAAGCCAACCTAGAAAATGCAAAAAGCTCCCAGTTAAGGTCTAGAACCAAGATGTAAATCTCTGTCAGATTTACCAAGATTCCTGTACTATCAGTTTGATTTCTGAGAATACTTCTCAGGGATGTATTGCATTACCTATGTTCTCCAAGGCAAAAGAGAAGATACTCAGAAGCACAGTGGTTCATTCCTTTGTATTAATTGCAGTTAAAAAAAAAAAATCTCCCACTCTTTGTGTTACGAGATATGTAGCTTCAGGGTAACATGCTCAGTGAAACCACAAGAGGGCGCTACCACATCGCTTTAATGAGTCAGTTACCGGTTTGTGCTGCTGTTTCCGTGAGATTGTTGGTGTTTGGAAAGGAGGTGATCTTTTTATTAGTGATGCTGTTATGGCACATTGATAAGCTTCATTTTTTTTTTAATTCTTTCTAGTCCTACAAAAAACACTTTAGAAAACTGGGCTTTGGAGCTGTAACTTTAATTATCTAGGAAATTGCCATTTAGGGCCCCGATTTCCAAGTTTTATAACTGAAAGATTATTAACTTTTAAAACTCAGTTTTATTCAGTACAATAAAATGTGGTTTTTAAAAGCAACTTCTGCATTCTCTGTTCTCAAGGGATTGAGAATTTGCTAGCTCACACTACTAACTCTGTTGCTGATCAGTACACATCAAGAAGTCTAAACTCTGGGCTGATAGAAAGAAAGACATCACTGAATTTAGACTTAAATCAACTCAAGCCCAGCATTTTGAAAAAGGTTAGGAGACATTTCCGTTGATTATGCAGCCCTTTCATGTAGTCAGAGACAAAACTAAAAATCCTTTAGAATGCTGTTATTTGTGGCATTTGTTGAAGAATAGCTTGTGATTGCTTGGGTCCCAGCTTTATATGTTGACTTTTCACCAGTTGTATTTTAATTTACAGTCAGTAGTTTGGGAAAGTTACGCTAGGACAGAATTGCTGTATTAGTCTGGCAAGCATATGAAGTATATATACTCCATGTAATAGTTGCTAAGGTACTATGTACAATTGCCAGCATCTACCTAAAATGGTTTGAGTCTGACTTAGCTGTGTAATTTGTATATATTTGATGCTTCTTCTAGGTCAGCCATTACATGGTTGATGGTCCATTTAAATATATATAGACTTTGATAGCACTTTAAAAAATTAAAAACAAACAAACACAAACCATGTGAACATATCCTGTCTTCTGCCATTTTTGATGAGTAATTTATTAAGCAGATGACTAAGGATATAGGGCAGGAATCATCTTGTGGAGCTTCTATCTTTGCACTACACTTTGATTTCAAGCTTTCTGACTTGGCTAGAAGTAAAACAATGAAAGGGCAGACCTCCTTCATAGGGATCAAAGAGGTCTCCCTTTCTGGGAAGGAATTGATGTGGTCAGTCATTGGCAAGAATATACTGTGAATAAAACCTAGCAGAGAGGGCTATGTTGCAATAGCATATATTATTTTCAATGAAGTTAAACAGTTTTCAAGCTGAATCTTTGAAAATTCAAGCCAGTCATGGTGGTGCATGCCTGTACAATCAGCACTTGTGGGTTGGAGACAGAGGCAGGCCATCCTGGTCTACAAAGTGATTTCAGGGCAGCCAAGACTATAGAGAGAAACCCTTTATCAAGAGAGAGAGAGGGAGGGAGAGAGAGAGAGAGAGAGAGAGAGAGAGAGAGAGAGAGAGAGAAAGAAAGAAAGAAAGAAAGAAAGAAAGAAAGAAAGAAAGAAAGAAAGAAAGAAAGAAAGAAAGAAAGAAAGAAA